CGGTAGGGTTCCGATGGAATCCTGTAGGACACTGTAAGGATCCTATAAGATCCCTATAGGGTTCCGATGGAATCCCGTAGGACCCTGTAGGGATCCTACAAGACCCCCCTCGAATTCCTACAGGGTTGCGATGGAACCCTGTAGTATTACAATAAGATTTCTGGAGGATTCCTACAGGTTTGTTGTAGGGTTGCAAGGGATTCCATCGGATTCCAATAGTATTACAATCGGATTCCTATGGAATCCTGCAGGACCCTGTAGGGATCCTATAGGATTCCTATAGGGTTCCTATGGGATCCTGTAGGACACTGAAGGGATCCTATAGGGATCCAAAAGGACGCCAATTGGATTCCTATCGGAACCCGATGGAATCCTGCAGGCCCCTGTAGGGATTCTATAGCACCACAATCGGATTCCGATTGGAACCCGATGGAACCCTGTAGGACCCTGTAGGGATCCTATAGGCTTCTAATAGGAGCCCCAGCGGGTTCCAATGGAATTCCTACGGAATCCTGTTGGGCCCTGTAGGGACCTTATGGGTTTCCCAATGAGATTCCACTAGGATTCCGATGGAATCCTGTAGGACCCTGTAGGGACCCCATGGGTTCCCAATGATTCCGATGGAATCCTGTAGGACACTGTAGGGGATCCCACAGGATTCTAGCAGTATTACAATAGGATTCCTATGGAATCCTGTAGGACCCTGTAGGGATCCTACTAAAACTTCCAATACGATTCCAATAGGATTCCTATGGAATCCTCTAGGACCCTGTAGGGACCCCATAGGATTCAATAGGATTCCAATCGCATTCCGATGGAATGCTGTAGGACCCTGCGGGGGCCCTAGAGGTTTTCTCAAGGATTCCAAGAGGATTATCATGGAATCCTGTAGGACCCTGTCGGGATCCTATAGGATTCCTACAGGAACCTACTTGGTTTCCCATGGACTCCTGCAGGACCCTGCAGGGATCCTACAGGATTCCAACAGGATTCCTGTGAAGTTCCTATGGAAGCCTGTAGGACCCTGTAGGGATCCCATAAGAATTCCGAATAAGAGACCCATGGAATCCTGTAGGATTCTGTAGGAATCCAATAATATTCAAAACAAATCGTCGGAATCCTGTAGGACCCTGTAGGGATCGTATAGGAATCCTGTAGGATTCCGATAGGACTCCGATGGAATCCTGTAGGACCCTGACGACGACGACCATCCCATCACGACCATCCCATCCCGGTGGAGCTCCCTGAGCCACGATCCTCGAGAGGGGTGTGCCGAAATCAAGCCTCGGTGGAGCTCCCTGTGGGGCCAGGGCTACGATCCTCGAGAGGGGTGTGCCGAAATGAAGCCTCGGTGGGGTTCCCTGTGGGGCCAGGGCCACGATCCGTCAGACGGGTGCGCCGAAATCAAGCTTCGGTGGAGCTCCCTGTGGGACCAAAGCCACGATCCTCGATCGAGAGGGGTGTGCCGAAGTGCAGCCTCTGTGGAGCCCCTTGTAGGGCCAGAGCTACGATCCTCGAAAGGGGTGTGCCAAAATGAAGCCTCGGTGGAGTTCCCTGTGGAGCCAGGGCCACGATCCTCGAGAGGGGTGTGCCGAAATAAAGCCTCGGTGGAGCTCCCTGTGGAGCCAGGGCCACGATCCGTGAGACGGGTGCGCCGAAACCAAGCTTCGGTGGAGCTCCCTGTGGGGCCAGGGCCACGATCCGTCAGAGGAATGTGCCGAAGTCGAGCCTCGGTGGAGCTCCCTGTGGGGCCAGGGCCACGATCCTTGAGAGGGGTGCGCCGAAATCAAGCCTCGGTGGAGCTCCCTGTTGGGCCAGGGTCACGATCCGTGAGAGGGGTGCGCCGAAATCAAACTTCGGTGGAGCTCCCTGTGGCGCCAGGGCCACGATCCTCGAGAGGGGTGTGCCGAAATGGAGCCTCGGTGGAGCTCCCTGGGGGGCCAGGGCCACGATCCGTGAGAGGGGTGCGCAAAAATCAAGCTTCGCTGGAGCTCCCTGAGCCACGATCCTCGAGAGGGGTGTGCCGAAATCAAATCTCGGAAGAGTTCCCTGTGGGGCCAGGGCAACGATCCGTGAGAGGGGTGCGCCCTTTGGGGCCTGTATGGGACTCCGCAGCAGTCCCGAAAGGACCTGCCGGGCAACGCCGCCGGGCCCTGCAGACCCCCGCAGTGGCCTGGCGAGGCCTCGTGGCGTTGCTCAGACCAGGGGCCCTGCAGGGCCCGTGCGTGGCCCCGTGGTGTTGCTCGGGGGGGGTCGAGCAACGGGCCTCCAGTAGTGTCCTCGCGAACAACAACAACAACAACAACAACAACAACAACAACAACAACAACAACAACAACAACAACAACAACAACAACAACAACAACAACAACGACGACGACGACGACGACGACGACGACGACGACGACGACGACGACAACAACAACAGCAGCAGCAGCAACAACAACAACAGCAACAACAAGCATTTTAAGACTGTTCGCCCATAACTGTTCGAGTGTCCTTCCACGCGTATTTCCCAAACCCTCGATATCCGCCCTCTTTGTCTTCGATAGTACCCTTTTCGGGGGAAGACTTTTCTTTCCTGCAGGCCTGGCCCCGGCAAGCGGCGGGGCGGCCGCGGACCGTCGGCTTGGCCAGCGGCAGCGCTGATCGGCGGCAGCCCGACCCCAAGAGGGACGGACAGGGGAACGACCACGACGACGTCCACCACGACGACGACAACGACGACGGCGACGACGACGACCACGAGCGAAAGCGAGAGAGAGAGAGAGAGAAAACGACAGCAGGGCCACGAACGGCACGAAGTAGGCCACGAAGGGCGACAGCGGGGACACGAAGGGAATGCGTATGGGGCCACGAAGAGCGCGAACGAGCGGGGGGCACGAAGGGCAGATAATGCGGGGTCACAGAAGGCAACGACGGGGCCACTGAGGGTAGCATCCGGGCCACGTAGGACAGCGAGGGGGCCACAAAGGGCGACAGCGGGGCCACGAAGGGCATGCGTATGGGGCCACGACGGGCGCGAACGAGCGGGGGCCACGAAGGACATACGTACATTGGGCCGCGGAGGGCAAGGACGGGGCCACTGAGGGTAGCAACGGGACCACGAAGGGCAGCGAAGGGGCCACGAAGGGCGACAGCGGGGCCATGCAGAGCGTGCATATGGGGCCACGACGGGCGCGAACGAGCGGGGGCCACGAAGGGCATACATATGGGGCCACGAAGGGCAGCGATGGGGCCACGAAGGGCTGCAACGGGGCCACGGAGGGCAGCGAGGGGCCCACGAGGGGCTGCAACGGGGCCACGACGGGCAGCGAGATCCCGATTCCTAAATAATATGTGAGGGAGTCCTAAGCGTGAGCGCGACTCCTGGGTACCTGAGTGTCGGGAACGCGGCGCTTGAGTAAATTGCGGGAAATTCCAACGCAAGGGTGCTGTTCTTGTGCTGTTCTTGAGTAGATTGCAAGCAAGTCTCCAGCGAGAGCGCGACTCCAGAGCGCCGAGAGAACGACTCCTGAATAAATTGTAAGGAAGTCCCACGCGAGAGCGCGTAACCTGAATAAAATGCGAGGAAGTCTCGGGCGGGAGCGCGATTCTTCAATAAACTGTGAGGAAATATCAGGCGGGAACCGTTGTTGTTGTAAACCGGGGGCCAACAACACAGTTGAGCCTCAAGACTTCCCCTGATAAAAAAACAGGATGCGAGCCCCAGGAGGGGCACTTCAATTGAAAAATACAATGTGCACCGGGCGGGGGGGATCAACAATGATTATTCTTCAGAAATGAAAGTTCAACGACGACGACAGCAAAACACAACAAACAAACAAACAAAAACAACTGAGCGTATATTATAAGATGGCACAGTGCAAGGCGGTAGAAAAAGAAGTAATTGTTAACGCCGCGCAGGGGGTATGATTGATGCCTCGCCCATTTCCCCTCGCCTCTCTGGCCGCTTCCCTCGCATACTTCATCGATCCGTTCGCCACTGCAGCAGTTGGGCGCGAAACCCGTTCTCTCCGAGGACAGGGGTGAACCAGCGCTTCGCTTGACATCAGGATCGATTTCGACGTCAGCTGCACTTGTTTTGAGATCGTCGTTACACCTTGCCTCGGATCAGGATACGTTCCAGGATTTCCACCACGCGCATTCAGCGGCCCTCGATTCTGCAGCCCGTGCCGGACCTCAGGAGCTCTGGGAAATCTGGGGAACCTCAGAAATCCCCTGGAGCATACACCCCTCACTGGACAAGCGCGTTCCACTGCTTGCAAAATAACTACTCGCAAATGGCCGGGATCCGCCGCGGGGGATTCACGATACATCCCACAGAGGAAGACGTGCTGTGTTTCGGACGCTTGCGAGTAGGCACTCTGCGAGTCGTGGAACGCGTTCGGTGCCTCACGAACTCCTGCTCCTCTGGCTCCTAGCTGCACGGTTTCCCCTGGGGCCGCTGGCGACCCGAGGAGGGGGAGGAGGAGCAGGAGGAGGGGGAGGGGGAGGAGGAGGAGGAGAACAAGGGGGAGGAGGGAGGGAGGAGGAGGAGGAGGAGGAGGGAGGAGAAGGAGGAGGAGGAGGAGGAGGAGGAGGAGGAGGAGGAGAACGAGAGGGAGGAGGAGAACGAGAGGGAGAGAGGAGGAGGAGGGAGGAGGAGGAGGAGGAGGGGGAGGAGGAGGAGGAGGGGGAGGAGAAGAGGAGGAGGAGGAGGAGGAGGAGGAGGAGGAGGAGGAGGAGGAGGAGGAGGAGGAGGAGGAGGCGGAGGAGGAGGCGGAGGAGGAGGGGGCCCCAAGCCCTTCGGAGACACCCTCCGCTCCTGGCGGGCGCCGAAGGGCACCACGCGGTCGGGGCCGGCGGCCCGCGGCTCCGCCTCGCCCCGGGCCTCCACGACGACGGGAGGGCCCCAAGCCTCCACGACGACGGGAGGGCCCCAGGCCTCCACGGCGGGCGGGCCCCAGGCGCCCGCCGCGGCCACGGCGGGCGGCGCGGCCCCCCTCGGGCCGGGGGCCCGGCCGCCGCCCGGGGCGCGGCCCGCGCCGCGGGTGCGCTTGGCGCCCTCCGCCGGCACGCGGTCCTCCGGCTGCTGCAGCTCTGCCATACAGTCGGGGTCTTGAAGAAGAAACCCTTTTCGTTGGGGAGGGGCTCCGCGTTCCTTCAGTGTTTCACAGCTTGCCCCAGGTTTTCCTTATGTTTTCGACAGGAAGTCGAAGTTTAACTCATGGAAAAAAGAGGCCTCGTTCCTTATTTAGGGTTCCTTAGATCAACGCCCCGACTGTAGGAGCAGGAGGCCAGGAAACTGGCACCGGCACCAGCACAGGGGGGCTGCCCCCACAGGGGGAGGGTGGTCCTAGACTTCGGTGCTGGTGGTGATTTGTCGGCCACCTAGGAAACCCGAATATTACCACCATCACCGAGATCGGGAGCATCTTCCCTCGGTGGAAGCACACCCCCGATGTTGGTGTTGATGTCGCATAGGCCTCCGATACTAGAGGGCAGAAAATCCACCCCCAGAAGGATCACCCCGACACGCAAAGCCGTTCAGTAAACGCACCCACAGAAGGAACCGAGCAGGGCGCGGCAGGGCTGTTCAGTAAACGCCCAGGGCCGCGCTTAGGAAACGCCAATTGTCGGGTCCGGGTGGTTTTTCCTCCCTCGACACTGAATCGACGCTGAATCGGCGCGAATCGACGCGTAACGACGCGAATCGATGCTAAATCGGCACTACCTCATCGACTACCAGACGCTAGTCGACGCGAGTGTACTCTTAAAGACATGATTACGAGGGTACACAAGGCTCCCACGATTTGCTACCAAAGTCCTCCGTCTGCAGCGCCTTCGCCTCCGTGGCGCCGTCGCTCGCGCCCTCGAAGGGGCTCCGTCGAGCCCTGCTGGCGGTGGCGGGGTCGACGAGCGAGTGGGCCTGGGAGCCAGTGCAGAGGAGCAGGCACATGGCCAGGGGCAGGAGGAGCACGTCCTTGAGGATCGCGACGGAACAGGATATGGCCCACTCCGTCTCCACCGTCTGGCCCGCCTGTGACAGAAACACGGCCGTGAACAGGGCCGCGAACAGCGAGCAAGAGCCAAGAAGACATGCATGAGCCAAGCGCGCGCACCTCCAGATCCACAAGATGCTCTGCCGGCTCGCCTGGTCCCAGCGCTCCCGGTAGAGGAACCTTCTGCGCACCAGGAAGAAAGCCGCAAGGCTTGTTGGAATGCCAGAGACGAGCGACGAGAGCGCACCCACTGCCACAGATCTGAGCACGCGCCCCAGAGAGCTCTCGGCCTCGCGCCAGCGGTCGCGTGCCCTGGGATCGCTGGCCTCAAAGAAAATGAGCACCCAGGCATTCAGCGCCAGCGAGCCCATGACCTTGGCCACGAGAGTCAGAGCTCGAAGGGTGCAGCAGAGCCTGTGGGGTAACCAAAGGCGCTGATGCCGCTAGTCCCCGAACCTCTCCAGGGGTGCGTTCTGACCAGAATGTCGATACCAAATCTGGCCGTAGCGACGAGGGCCTCCCAGCAGGCCCAAAAGGCGAGAACGAGGGAAGGGTAGCGGCATCCGTACCCTCTCCTCCTCCGAGCCTCAGGTCGAAGAAGAGCGTCACGGTCAGGAAGGGGTGCTGCGCCCAGAAGAGGTGGCAGCACCGCCCAACCACACCTTTTCTGCGGCAACTCATGGGAGCCTCCAATACCATCTTGTTGGCTCGTCGAATCAACGCTGATCGACGCTAAATCGGCGCTCCCCCATCGATCACCAAATGCCAATCGACGCTGGTGCACTCTGAAGACGGAATCGGGAGAGGATGCAAGGCTCCTGCGATTTGCTACCTGACACCTCGCCGCCAAAACGCCTCCACGGCCCCCTGCGCCGCGAAGCGCACCCTCTCGGCCAGGGCCCTCAGCTCCGCGTCCACTCCGCCAGGGCCCTCGGCCTCTCGCCCGCTCCTTCGGCCGCCGCTGGCGCCCCCGACGCCCGTCCAGGCCGGAGCGGCGGCGCCGCCGCCGCGCACGACCTCCGGGCGCTGCCTAATGGGGATAACGGGGGGGGTCGAAACGTGAACCTTTCGTTCCCCGGGGGCCCATCCAGGGCACAAAAGGCGCACGCTAATCCACCCCCCAAATGTGATCGCCCCCCCCCCCCAATTGCGCAACGCACGAGACCTCTGACCCCAGACCCCTCCGGATCAGCCTCAGGGTCTCGGCACTCATCCCGACGGCCCGCGCAAGCGCCAGGTAGCTGCACCGCTCTGTGAAACAGCCGGTGGCCTCGACGCCCCGTATGGCCTCAATGAACTGGTCGGCCAAGTCGACCTTCCTATAGGCAGGGTTGTTGGTGAGCAGGGCCTCGTCGTCCAAGAGGCCCTCTCTCCTTGGAGACCTCCCAGATGGAGCTGGACCCGATAAAATTGGAGGATCGCGCCGCATCGCCAATGCATCAGCGCCGTCGGCGTGGAGAAATTCCTGCCCCACATCGGGCCGCGATCCTCCGACCCCACCAACTCGGAGCCGACTGGCGCGACGGAAAGAGACGGTTCTCACGCACGAGGACGACCTTACGCGGCTGCTTACACAAACCGCCAGCGCGGCACGCCACAGGGGAACCGGGGGCGCCGACCCGCGACCTCACGCGGGCAACTCGCGCGCCAGCGCCGGTGAAGACGATCCCGTGCAGTTCCGTCGCCCATTTGGGAGGCCCAAAAACCTCGTGCGCCGCCGGTCCAATGGGAAATCCGCCGTGGCTGCCGCTCCGCGGACCCACAGAACGAAGGGGTCGGCGGATGTAGCGCAAACCTCTGGAATCCACGTCCGGACGTGACGCGTTGCCGGAGGCAGGTCGCGCAGCGGAGGAAAGCCCTCATACAACAGATACTGCACATCGACTTCTTGCTTGATTGCGATGTAACAAATTCTTACACGATTTCTACATACTGGTCTTATGTAGCATGGTTAGGTTTCCCCCGACCGTTTGAAATTGATGCTCCAAAACGTGACCGTAGAAACGGCAATGTAAAAAGGTGGAGCGATATGATGATGGAGGAGAAAAGGGCCCATTTTTCCTGCCAGCGCCGCGCATCGAACGCAAGCAACGCCGCCTACACTAGCAGATCGGGCGGCGTTGCCTTGAACGAAAACAGCAACGGAAGAAGGCAAGCATGCGTCTCCATCCTGAGACGCACCCTCAAAGCCGAAGGAAGGAACGAAGCCTAGCCACTGCTGCCCTCACATAGGCCAAAGGCAGTCGCAAAGAACAGACAGCCTCCTAACACGGCTGTCGCAATTGCAATAGAGAACAACAACCAAGAAAGCGACAGCGCAAACTACCGGGCCGTGGCTCCATGGCCCGGTGAACACAGCACTGACATGCGTCAGAGCAAAAGCAAACAACAAAAATACAGTTTCACCTGGGCCAGCCGCCAAGAAAGCTCTGATGAGCATCGAACGGGGGTGATCCCGCATCGGCACAATGCTACATGATTTTCAACCTCGCGTGACCACGAAGCTAAAGCCAAGCAGAACCAAACATCAAGACAGCTACTCGGAAAACAAGGCGGGCTGAAGGAGCGCGGAGACACTCTCTTTTCTGGGTAGTCGTGTGTCCACGACATAGGAAGGGCAAGAGGAGCGCGGACACGCGCTCACTCTAGCCCGTCGCGGCTCCACGAAAACAACTAATGGGGCCACAAGGAGGGCCCCCCTCTCATGCAATTGTTGGCCCGACTGAACAATCCCTCAAGATAGCACGGGTCCAATAAAGCAGGTGGACAGCGGCAGCGTCACGTATTGGCACTGGGAAATTGACCACGGCATGGTGCATACGTCTTAACCTCGTGATTGTAACCCTGCTGCCCATTCGTGACGTGCAACAATGCCTTTGGTATGACCATCTGCCGTCACATCGCGTGTGTCACAGACATGTACAATATCGATAATGCCAAATTCCAAATACTCGGATCCAGCATATACGACCCAGCAACGTATTTTCGGCAGGTGTTGTCAAGTCCTTGTTGGTGAAAGACTTAATCACGGATCCCGCGTCGATCGTGAGAGGATACTTTGGTACAGGGTCCACCGTGTTCACGAAGTTGTTTGAGCCTAGATGACGTCAGATGACCCTTGATGAGCGCATATAATGTCACTAAGGCAAGGTAGCATTCGTCCACGCTGCGGGCTGCAACTAATGCTTCGGCAGCATAGCTGGATCTAACCTAGAGGCTATGGGATTTACATAAGCTCTCGATGCCATGAACGACCTCTTCTTTACTGTTCGTGATTCCACGACGCAGAATGTTGCGCCTCCGTCGTCCATAGCCTTTTGCTGCATCGTCCTCTTCTCCACTGAGCTCTCGGTAGCCCGATCCATTGTGTAGATCAGCCTTGCCATCAGGAGTCATGGCTCGATAGATGATCTTCTCAGGGTTTTGCAAAAGTTTTCCGCGTGTGGGCGTTGAGTCGTCTCACCTGGAGACTGGTCGCTGTTGAATGCGTTGCAATGACACAACGTAGACCATGATCCGGAATTGCGCACATGCCGAATTGGCGAAGGCTCCCCGCAGACTGACAAACATGTCGTTGATAGTGTGAGTCGCTGGTGCTTCTGGTGGAACTCCGACAAAATTGCGGCGTTCGATCGGACGTAGTTGTTTGACATATTTGCTGTGGTTCATGGTCTCGCTTATGTTGAAGACCTTGGTGTACTTGACTGTACAAGTTGTGTAAATGTGTGTATCCACTTGTATATGTCAAAATCGTGTTATATTTTGTGTACGTGTGGGGGTCCATATGGTCCTCCCAACCGCAAATGTGAATGTCGCCCACGTGTTTGGCAGTAAGTAGGTCGGGTGGAAAAGGACATGGAAGAGGACCACAATCGAGGTTCCAGGAACAGGAGAATGGGGGAGGCGGATCAAGGGGAGGCGGATCAACAAGGAGAAATGGATTCGGGCGCTGGGACCCTCACATATCGATCCAATTCGACAGATGACGCAGAAAGACGGGGTCAAGAGCTCCACTCGTTACCCTTGGCGAAGTTGCGAACGCGTTGCAACGCCGGATCTGGGTGCGAGGCCCGATCGCGGCGGGTCCGCCAGTTTAAAACTGGCCGGGGGCCCAACCAGATGCTTCGCCTAAGGCGGAGCATACGTCCAACCCTGTTGCATCGCACGAACGATAATACCAGAAAGTGGAAGGAGCCGCGTGGGCGGCGATGATACATCTCAAGAATAAGCGGTGCAAACTAACTATTCTGTCTCGATGCAAGGTAGCGGGCCGCGGCGCGCCCCCCGGGTCAGATAGGCGGCCCGCGGACAAACGCTCGACACCGCTCGCCCTTGCCCTTCCTCCTTCAGCGTCGGGGGGGGGAGAAGACGAAGCGCGAGTCCGCTACCAGTCTTCCTCAGCAAAACCAATAGATCACACAAGAAAGGCAGCAGCTAGCGGGCCTACCCTAAGCAGTTTACCCGCTCAGCTTACTAATCCCCAGGCGGCTCAGACGGTCTCGCTTGGCCCGCCCTGTAGGGAGTGCGTCGTTTTCAAGTCGCGCTTGAAGGATCGCAATCCCCCCATCACTTGCAGGAACATGTCTCTGTCGACGCCCCCCCTTGCGTGACCATCCGCAATCAGATCGCAAGTGTCACGCCCAAACACACAGTGCACAATGCCACGCCCCATCACTTGCTGCACCCAACTAATGAGACCCAAAAGCGTGCACCCTGTCAGCTTCTTCAGGTCTTGCTTGACAAGGACTTGATGACGGATCCAGCATCAATGGTCAAAGTGACCTTCATGCTCAGTCCACCCGTCTGAATATCCTTTAGTTGCGCGGGTGTCAGCGGCCCTGCACGGAGTTCGCGCGGCGCGACAACCGCGGGATAGTTTCAGCTGAGTAGCTCGAGCGGACTTGCAAGCGGTGAGACTCGCAGTGCGCGTCGACAAGATGGACGACGGGCTTACCAGCATGCGCGTGTCCAAGTCTTAGCAGGTTTGCCCCGCGAATACCAGATCCGTTGACTTCGTCATCGGCATCGCCGCGCAGGCGACGGCAACTGGAATCGCTACGCAGTTCGACCTCGCCCGTTGGTGCCATCGCTTTCTAGACAACCTTCTTAGGACAGGCCTGCGGCTACCCGATAATCGCATTGAGTCTTCGCACTTGCGTATTGGTCGGTTCTTGGACACGCTGCAGTGACCCATCATATACCATTAACCACACATGTGTGATAAGGGCGCAAGCCAGAGCGCCTGCGAGACAGACAAGCGCATCAGTGACCACCTTAAGCGCCTCAGCCTCAGCATCTGCGCCCGTGAGTTCGCGATGCTGGGATGGGCGGAGCTGTTTTGCATGTCGGTATTGGTCAAGAGTAATATTGCCGTCGCTGCCCTTAGCATATATCACGGCACAGTTGGCACTTGCGTGCTTGATGAGTTTACAAGTCGCTAAAGTATCCTCAACACACTTGACGCACTTGTCGATGGCGTCCACGGCACCAGCCATGTTGATATCATCGACGCGTTTGGCAATAAGAAGGGCGGGGCTCGTCGCGAACTCCTCGTCGCGCGACGCGGGTCTGAGTCCGAAACCTCTCGTGGTCTTCCTGGGCTTTAGCGAGGAGGCCCCTGGTGCATCTTTGGTGCCAGTGCCTGTTTTAAGGCGCTGTAAACAGCGTCTGGACTCATGGTTGCGCGTGAATCCTAGGAAATCTGAACACTGGTGCTGAACCAGGAGGCAACGTAAAGCACGCCACGCGTTCCTTGTCACTGGCCCTTTTCAGCGAGCTCTTGATACGTAAGTCCACTCAAGAGAGCCATGTTCATGCCGAGGGAAACAATGATCCCCTGATTCCTGCGCGCTGCCGCGCTGGCGAGCAATCGCCGGCTTGACCGCCACGCCGCTCCTGAAAACGCATCTAATTCGCGGGCTTCGAGGTCCATGAAGCCCCCGAGTACCAGGCGCAACCTGATGGTGCGTTCCATCTCGCCCTTTTCGTTCTTGGCGAATGTCAAACTGCATGCGTACCTCGAAGTCGCGATGCTTGACGCGTTGGATATGTCATGTCTTGTTTGGAACACTTATTGTCAAATCATGTCCTGAGTTCAGTATATAAGGCTTTAGATACCCTGACTGGATTCGCCTGAATGTCTGCCTTCGTGAGAAGGTCACCCTCCATGACGACTGCAGCTCGTTTGGCCGCAGCGGTCAGATCTACTCGCATCGTCGTAACACGGCCGACGTCAAAGATCCGATGTTGCTGTTCGGACAGAACGCTTTTCGACATATCTGCCGTCAATCAGAATTCTACAGATTGCCCATGCTCGTCGGAGTCCAATCCGCAAGCGTCATCTTCGTCCGTGGAACAAAATGGGACATGATATGTTTCAGTTGTGAAAATGTCCTGCGGGTTACCCCGCGTGGGCAAGGGCCCTCGCTCTTCTTCAGCCACTGTGGTCAGCGCGCTGTCATCGGAAATCATATGCGCGGGCACAGCGTAGAGTTGTTCTACTGGGGTTGCCTCCAGCAGCTCCCTCTCGCCCAGCCATTTTGCATTCCACACTTCCACCATGCGTGCCTCGAGGTCCGCCTCCGATTCCTCATAGATTGTGGGAAGCCAGCCGTATTCCTGTGGTGGTTCGAATTCTGGGGCCCCCCCGGCATCGCTGCCTTGCGTTGGCACGTCTGCCGCCTCATCGAACTTCGCCATGTCTTGATCGAAGCCCGCTTGAGGTTGGGTGCGCTTCAGGCACTGGATGAATGTAAGAGTGTGCTGATCCAGTTTGTCTGGAATGTTTAGGGCAGTACCTTCAGCTGCATAAGGATGAAAAACCTGGGCCCACGTGGTTGTCAGAGTGCACCAGCGTACAACTGTCAACATACGTCATTGGAGGTCGTTCATGAATGCTCGTAGCTAACCCAAACAGAACAGCGTCTTCGATACGGGAGAAGCCCCTGATGAGATACCGGAGAGCTAAATGTACCTTTGGAGATAATCGGCTCGCACTCGTCATCTGGAATACTCCCTTCTTGGTCGGGGGAGAACCGAAGGTCATGGCAGGTCGCCCCGCAAGTAGACTTGCCACGAATGCCAACGCAGTCCGCAATGCTGCGCTGCCCGGGCCAATCCCTCGATTGATCAGAGCCTCGATGCACAGCGAGCGCATTGCATCACCGCACTGGACTCGCACATCGCGATTCCCAACTCGCACGATAACCCGACCCCTATTTGGATCGTTCCGCACGACCGGGACGGGTCCATTCCAGCCACCCCAGTCGTCTTTCGTAGTTGCTGGGCGATGATAATGAACTAGATCACGCTCGTTGCAATAACGCTGACCAGCGATGGTCGTCTGAGTCCGTAGTGCACGGCTTGTCTTTGCTATTGCACTAGCTTGAATAGTAGCCTGAATGATTACCCGGCGGATAGTCTGCTCTCGAGCATGATCGGATGCATCCGCCCGTTGTTTGCGATTTAGAACAGGCAATTCAGGCGGCATTGCTGGTTGTCGGCCAAGCAGGGTTTTATGGAGGTACCTCATTGGAAAAAAGCTAGTAAGCGCATCGGCGGCAAACAAAGCCTCGCGGTCGCCCTCTGGTTCGGCAAGAAAGGTTTCGACATCCACGCACTAAATGTCGGAATCGGTTTGAACCAGGTGCATCGACGGACCCCTGCCTCTCCCGTCGCCTTGGAGGCACTCACGACGAAAATGCTGGGTGCTATGGCAGATATCACATTCCATGGTTCTCCCGTTGGCATCCTGCGGGTTACCCCGGCGCCCCTTACCTTTTCCTGAGGTGCGCCTACGGCCTCTACCCTTCCCCAGGAAGATGCCCTCATACTGTGGTCCCGTAAGGGAGGTCAGGAAAGTCAGCATGCCGCTACCATGTAACCGTCGTCGTTTACCCTCACCTCTACCATTACCCTTTGACCTAAACAAACGTCGAACTGCACGTCGTACCCATCGAACTGGTTTCTTCATAAAACGTCTCCATCGGCGTTTGTGTTGATGGTAGCCCAGGAATGTCCATTGCGCTTGCTGCTCTTCAGTGAGGTGCACGGGCATATCATATATATATATATATAAATTATAAAAAAAAAAAAAAAAAAAAAAAAAAAAAAAAAAAAAAAAAAAAAAAAAAAAAAAAAAAAAAAAAAAAAAAAACTTGCCAGTCCCTTCATCTGACAAGGTGTCAGCATCGGTGCCTGAATCAAAGTCGGACTCTGCATGCTGCCCCGCCGACCGAGCCCATGAAGGTAGTGGCTTGGGTAGGGTCCGCCGTTGCCGACGGTCCCTGATATTGAGCCCAGGAATCTTGCAACCCCATGGGCTGGCCACTTTGTTCGTTTAATAGAGTGGTGGCCTCATTTGGTTGTGGATCGTCATTCCAGACGGCGCGGGCAGGTTGCCCCGCATGAGTGTCACGATGAAAGACATCAGTGCGGTGGCCGTGGCTAACTACACCACCATTGTTACCATGGGCTCGCTCAGAAATATGGGGCGCAAACCCTCATGCGCCCCAGAAAAGAGTCGAACTGTTGCTGAGTCCGTGGCATTTGGTGGCTCAATGGTTGCAGCAGTTGCTGTGCGCGCGAAGTACCGACACCTAAGGCTCTGAACAGCATGACTGTCAGGATTTGAAAGTTTGGGACCTTGGACCCCGCAGCGTCAGCTTCGAAGCGTGCAACCTGGAAGCGGGCCAGCGCCTGGTCGATCCGTTCTCCCGCATGGACACAAAAGTCAATGACAGCCGTCCTCGAATTAAGTTGTCTTTCCTCTTCTAGGTTTTCGAACTTAGTGCTGAGGAGGAACATGATGTAGGTGAATCCATCGGTGTGGCGCACACCAATGTTCACTCCAAAGTTGATTACTGCGGGGGGGGCTCTCATGGCAATGGTCCTTGCGAGACCTCCAAGGCCACGCTGTAAAACGGCGGCCTGTTGGGCGGGAGTCATAATGCCTGTGTCACGTTCATCCATGCATGCACCTCGCGAGCGAACTCGCGGAAAGGTACGTTACCGGCAGGGTCCCAGTGAGGGCCAGTGGTGCGCATGTCGTCTGCACCACGCTTCGTATGTCCAACGGCACATCCAATGGCGACCCTGAGGAGGCCAAAGATAGCGATGCCAAGCCAGTGACCCCGTAGGTCGGCGTCGGTTGTACGTGGCTGTTGGTTACGAGGTGACTTCGCCGTCAGTTTGCGAGGAGGTGCAGGCGGCACGATGTCATAACGCATGTTCCCACGCATTCTATATTCGAAGAAACTGCCAAGTGGCGTAGGTGGGTGGACTTCAGGAGTGTAGTAGCGCAGAGATGTAGGGCGAAGGCGAGAGACCCCTACGTGAGCATAGGCGGCAGTGCAAGTGTCCTTGCGATAGTATAGAGTTCCCCCACGTAGAGCCACTTCACCCTGACGTTCCACCATGTCGGTAATCCACCAGATAGTGCGATGGATAGCAAGGAGTAGAGCTAGAGCTGACCACCAACGGCCAGCTCCGCGACCAAGGTTTAAAGCTGATCGGGGGGCCCAACCAGATGCTTCGCCTAAGGCGAAGCAGACGTCCAACCCTGTTGTGTCGTATTAACGATAGCGCCAGAAGTAGGAAGGAGCCGCGTGAGCGGCGATGATACATCTCGATGTAAGGTAGCGGGCCGCGGTGCGGCCCAGTCAGATAGGTGGCCGGTCACTGGGCCAGAATGGCCGCGGACAAACGCTCGATACCTCTCGCCTTTGCCCTCCCTCCTTCAGAGTCCGCCGGGCCTGCTGTGGCCGAGTCGCCGGCCCAGGTCGGCGAACAGGGCAAACAACCCAACGAGCAGTGCTGATGTGCTCCGGACGTGCACCCCGCGAAACGAGAGGAATCCACGTCCGGAAGGAACGTGTTGCCAGGCCCGCGGATGCTGTAATACAACGTATCCAGTAGATCGCATGATTGCGAAATGCTACATATTGCATTCGTCTACATTATGATGTCTTCCATCGTAACCTACCCCTGGAGTTGCGCCACATCCGTCGACAACTTCCATCCAAGGCTTCCTGGTCCTTAAAACCGTCAGAAAATCTGTGAGTTTAGCATTTTGGGCCTCGTGAGGGCCCAAGGGGGCCAAGACGGCCCCAAGACGGGCAAAGATCGCCCCTAGATGGCCCAGACGCTCCAAGGGGTCCCCCAAGAGCTGCCCCAGAGGCCAAAGAGATTGATCCCCCTATTGGCTCTACAATATGTTTGCGTTCTTGCCTTGTTCTCGGGGGCCCATGACGGCCCTAGCGGCCTCCAAGATGGCCCCGAGACGTCCCCAGAGACCCCCGAGGGCCCCAAAATGTCCCGAAGAGGCCCCCAAGACAGCCCACCAGGCCCCCAAGACAACCCCCAAGGGGCCCCAAGGAGGCCCCCAAAAAGACCGCAGGCAGCCTCCAAGAGGCCCCCAAGAAGCCCCCAAACGGCCCTACGAGACCACCAAAACACCAGCGGAATTGCATGCGAATGGCGCGTTGTTGCTATGCTCATCGGAATTTGAACTTGGCGTTGCCTTGTGCAGGCACGCGGTGAATGCCCGTTGCCCTGGTGGACATTCACCCGCTTGTCCCGGCGCTGAAACGGGCGGGGGTGGGGGGCGCATCCGCCCCCCGTGGCACTGGCAGCGCCCCGGGGTGGGCAGAACAACACGGCAGGTGAGCAGGGCAAACCACCCAACGCACATTTTTCACGCGCTCCGGACGCGCACCCTGCGAAGCGAGAGGAATCAGTCGCCACATCGAGCCGCATCGCCGATGCTTCGGCGATGGGGTGCGATCCTCGGACCCCACTTGCTCGGACCCCATTCGGAAGGCCTAGACTCCTGTGCCGCAGGTCCCGCCGGTACGCCCTGAGGAGCAGGCCGCCGTACAGCAGCACGACGGCGGAGAAGCCGAGGGGCCCCAGGCGCAGCAGCAGCCCGGCGGCAGCCACGGCGGGCCTCGAGGAGCCGTTCAGCCAGGCGGTCGGTGGCCCGGTCGGCCCAGGGGTGGGCGGCGGGGGCGCAGGCGACGGGGCAGGCCCCACGGCCTCCATGACAGGCCCGCCGACCGAGAGGGACGCGCTGTCGAAGGCCAGGCCCATTGTCGCGAAGGCTGCCTCCAGATTTGCCGCCAAGCCACTGGGGTCGCCGCTCATGTCGGAGGCAGACCCCAACAGGCTGTCCGCTGCCTCTGCGCCTTCGGCGGCGGCCTGCCACTCCGCACTCCAGGCGGACAGTTGCCGGCCGCTGGCGAGCGCTGCTACCACCACGAGGTCTTCTTCGGAGACGTCCAGGGTCTCGGCGATGGCAGACGACAGAGCGCTCCCGACCTGACCCTGTGTCCCTTCACTCTGCAGGGAGACGTCACCCCGCACGTGGAACAACTGCATGGCTGCCTCCACAGTGGTGAAACTCGCGGCGGTGTCTGTAGCGGTCTCTGTGACCGTGTCCGTGGCGATAACTGGTGTCTGGAGTGAGCTTGTGGTAGGCTCAACGATCACGCTGCTGGTACTTGCGGTGATACTGGTGACGGTCTCATGCGCGGTACCCATCGTGCTACTCAGAGGCATGGCACCCGATGTGCTACTCGTCCAACTAGTGAACGTCAGAGTCATGTTGATGCTGTCCATTGTGTTGCTCAGCGTCGTGCTGGTCAGCGCCATGCTGCTGGTACCAGTCGTGGTGTGCACAGACGTGGTAATCGATGTTACACTCGTAGAGGTCAGAGTCGTGGTACTGGTCTCCGTTGTGCTAGTCAGCGACGTGCCGCTGGTACCAGTCGTGCTGTGTACAGACGTGGTGCTCGATGCGCTACTCGTCCCACTGCTGGACGTCAGAGTCGTGCTGCTGCTGTCCGTTGTTCTGCTCAGCGTCGTGCCGCTGGTACCAGTCGTGCTGTGCACAGACGTGGCGCTCGATGCGCTACTCGTACCACTTATGGAAGTCAAAGTTATGCTGCTGCTCTGCGTTGTGCCGCTCAACGTCGTGCCGCTAGTACCAGTCGTGCTGTGTACAGATGAGGTAATCGATGTCTCACTCGTGGAGGTCAGAGTCGTGCTACTGGTCTCCGTTGCGCTGCTCAACGACGTGCTGATGGTACCCGTCGTGCTGTGCGCCGACGTGGTAATCGATGTCTCACTCATGGGGGCCAGAGTCGTACTACTGCTCTCCGCCGTGCTGCTCAACGTCGTGCTGCTGGTACCCATCGTGCTGATCCTAAATGTGACTCCAGTACCCGTCGTGCTGCTCACAGATGTGATGCTAGATACACTGCTCGACCCACTCCTTGTTGTCTGAGTCGTGGTGCTGCTCTCCGTTAGGCTGGTCCGAGTCGTTCCGCTGGTACTCGTCGAACTGTGCACAGACGTTGCAATCGAGGTCTCACTCGTGGAGGTCAGAGTGGTTATGCTGCTCCCCGTCATGCTGCTCAACGTCGTGCTGTTGGTACGAGTCGGGCTGTGCTGAAACGTAGTGCTCGATGCACTACTCGCCCAACTCGTGGATGACAGAATAACGCTGCTCATCCCCATCGTACTGGTCTCCGTCGTTATCATGGAAGCTGTCGCGCTGCTCAATGAAGTGGTGCTCGGCACACTGCTCGCCTCACTAGTGGATACCAGACTCGTACTGCTGCTCTCCGTCGTGCTACTCAGCGTCGTGCTGCTAGAGCCCGTCGTGCTGATCACAGACATGGAACTCGGCACACTGCTCGTCACACTCATCGAGATCTGGCTGGTGATACTGCTCTCCGTCGTGCTGCTGAACGTCGTGCTGCTGGTGCCCGTCGTGCTTCTTGCAGACATAATGCTCGACATACTGATCGTCTCGCCGATGCTGCTTTCCGTTGTGCTGCTCAACGTATCGCTGCCAGTTCCCGTCGAGCTGCTCCGAGACGCGGAGCTGGTAACCGTCGTGCTGCTCACTAACGTGGTGTCCGATACACTACTCGTCCTACTACTTGATGTCAGAGTTGTGCTGCTGATCTCCGTTGTGTTGCTCAGCGTCGTGCTGCTGCTCCCTTTCGTGCTGGTCAGCACCTTGCTGCTGGTACCAGTCGAGGTTTGCACAGACGTGGCAATCGATGTCACACTCGTGGAGGTCAGACTCGTAGTACTGGTCTCCGTTGTGCTGGTCAACGTCGTGGTGCTACTTCCAGTGGAGCTGCTTACAGGTGTGGTGATCGATACACTGCGTATCCCACTCGTGAAGGTCAGAGTCGAACTGCTGTTCTCCATCGTGTTGCTCAGCGACGTGCTGCTCGTACTCGTCGTGATACTCAGCGATCCGGTGCTCGACCCACTGCTAGTTTCACTGGTGGATGTCGGACTCGTGCTGCTGTTTCCTGTCATGCTGCTCGGCAGCGAGCTTTGAGTACCCGTCGTGCTGCTCGTAGACGTGGCAAGCGATACACTACTCGTCCCACTCATGGAGATTAGAAGGGAACCGATGCTCTCCGTCGCGCTGCCAATACCCGACGTGCTGCTCACAGACGTGGTCGTAGACTTACTGTTCGTCTGACTGGTGGCTGTCAGAATCGTGCTGCTGCTTTCCGTTGTGCTGCTCAACGTCGAGCTGCTGGTACCCGTCGTGCTGCTCCAAGACGCGAAACTGGTACCCGTCGCGCTGCTGCTCGATACACTGCTCGACCCACTCCTTGTTGACAGAGTCGTGCTGCCACTCTCCGTTGTGCTGATCAGCGTCGCGCTGCTGGCACTCGTGGTGACCATGGTGCCCGTAGTGCTCTTCTCACCTAGAGTGCTTGTGGCCGTGTTGCTCGTTTCGATCGTGCACGCATCATATCCATATCCATATCCATATCCATATCCAGAGCCGTAGCCATACCCATATCCATATCCATATCCATATCCACACCCGTCAATCGATAAGGCACGAGGGGGTGCCAACGCTGTAAGTCCGAGGGCAGCAGCAATGGAGTCGAGGCAGACTTGAAAGTTGGCAGCAGCATGAATAAAGACAGGCCTGGTATTGTACTCGACGTGCTCGAGCTCGGCCTCGGGGGAAACTTGAGCATAGGGGCAGCCACCATCGTCGACGCTGATCCAGTAGCGTGAATTACCAAAGAGTGCCTGGCTGTAGTCTAAGACTATCAGGCCAGGCCTGTGATAGAGAAGGTCCGACAAAACAGCCTGGTCGTCCTCATCCACCGCTATGTCCATATACTGGACGAGATGGAGCAGGTCGCGTGCCCTGCCGGCAACGAGTCCCGCATTCAGGAAGACCTCGCCGCCCTCAGCCCCCCGCTCCACTGCCAGTCCGCTCATGAACCTAAAGGCCTCACAAATGGGGTCTGAGTAGACGGGGTCGGAGGATCGCGCCGTCGCCGATGCATCCCCGATGTACATAGGTGATGCCGGCGTGGAGACAATCGGACTCCACATCGAGCCGCATCGCCAATGCGTCGGCGATGCGGCGCGATCCTTCCACCGCATCTGCTTCGATCCCACCTAAAAGGCGCAGAGAACCTCTCCCACCCGTGCCTCCCGCTGCTCACCCACGGGCAGCCCGGCTGCCCAGAGCTGCAGGCCCGGGCCGCGCGCCTGCCGTTCGGGGCGAACAGGTCGCCAGGACGGATGTTCGTGAGGGAGGACACGCAGCACCTGCCCTCCGCGCCCACCACCACCGCGCCCGGGAGGGCCCCGGCGACCAGGTCCTCGAAGGCAGACACCAAGCGCCGCGTGACGGGTGCAGGGCTGGAGTTCAGCAACACGTCCCGCGAGTCAGACACGACGACCACCGTGGAAGGCGGTACCCGGTCGAGCACTCGCTGCAGGGCGTGCCACTTGTGCCCCCAGCCCAGGTATTGCTCGCCAGCACCAAGAATGTAGAAAGGCACCCTGTGTTCCTCCAGCTGTGAGACATACGTCTGCGCGTAAGCGGTGTCCCCCGCTGGCGTTATCGCCTCCGTCTCAAAGACGAACACGATCGCTTCCATCGAAGGACGTGTTGCAGAAGCGCTGGTCCCACCACGAATGCTGCCTCTACGCAACTCGATTCCAGTCCGCCTCCGCGCCGCAGGCACTGAGTGTAGCAGCATCGGGCCCCCTCGACTGTTGAAACAAATTACGCGAGACGCACCGACCCACTGTAATCGCGCGGCGGCTATCAACAGAAACGCCCACTTACACGAGAGCACACTGAAATATCTGCGGCACCCTGGAACGCTTGGCCAACCAGCATCGGACCACGTCATCTCATCACGAATTGGCCACGGTTGCGCAGTTGGCAGCCTCCCAGGTGAACTTCGGGGTCCTCGTGAGGTCTCTACTGGATCCGCGTGCCCCTCCGCTGCGCTGGACCCCCAAGGAGCTCACGAACATGGCGACGGCTGCGCAGTTGGCAGCCACCCAGGGAGCCGCGAGGTCTCATCTGGGCGTCACTCCGCTCCGATGGGCCTCCCAGGAGCCCACGCAATTAGCAACACTTGCGCAGTTGGCAACCCCTCAGGGAGCCGCGAAGTCTCGACTGGATCCACGTACACCATGCCTCCGCGTGGCCTCTACCACGACAGACGCGACGGTTGCGCACTTGGCAGCCCCCCAAGGAGCCGCGGAGTCTCGAGTGGATTCGAGTACGCCTCCAGGCCGCTGGACCTTCCAGGAAAACGACAAAAGCGACGGTTGCGCAGCTGGGTGCCCCCAGCGAGACGAAAGATCTCGACTGGATCCGCGCACATATCCGCCCTGCTGGGCTTCCCAGGAACCCACGCAACTAGCGACACTTGCGCAATTGGCAGCCCCCCAAGGGGCCGCGAGGTCTCGACTGGATCCGCGTACACCCCCACCCCGCGTGGCCTTTTACCATGGAAGAGGCGACGGCTGCGCACTTGGCAGCCCCCCAGGGAGCCGCGAGGTTCCGACTGGATTCGAGTATACCTCAACGCCGCTGGACCTTCCAGGAACACGAAAGTGGCGACAATTGCGCAATTGGCAGCGGGGGCCGCGACTCGTCCGTCGAGGCGACCCCCCCGTGCACTGAAAGCGGCGGGCGGGAGTGCCTCGGGACAGCCGCGGGACGGCGGCGCGGCCATAACTCCGAAGCGACGGAGGGAAGGACAACCGCGGGACAACGGCTGAGGGCGGCAGCGAAGCGGCAGCGCTGCTGCAGCACAGCCACGGAGTCACATGAGGACGACAGTGGGTAGCAGTGGGGCAGCGACTCTTGACGCTATGGGACGCGGAGGTGGAGCTGGGCGACGCGGGGGGGGCAGGGGCACGGAGGGGCCGCAGCGGGACAGTGCTCGGGCGGAAAACTACGGATGAGCGGGCACAGGCAGGCGCATGCAAAGCTGGCAAGGCGCGGGCATGCGTCCGTGGATGTCGCCCACAATCCATGAGCAAGTATTGGGATTGGTGGGGTAAGTAACGTTGTATACGGGTACGAGAAGACACGCACTGGTAACTACGAATATCCAAGGACACACGCGGGGGTTCGTGGGCAGAGTGGCCAGAGCCTTTGCAGGCGTGAGCGAATGCGCGCGCGCGAACGCAAGCGCCTGGAAGCGTGCGCATGCTTTCGCATAGAATCAAAAATCTGGTTCGCGTGTGCTGACTCACGCAACTTCTCAAGCCACCAGAGGGCCTACGGGAAGGGCGTGGATCAATCACGCCACGGCGGCAAACGGCCTGAGTGGGCGCTTCAGCGGGATCGCTGAGCTCTTTCCTGATCTCCTGGAAAGCGACGCGATCCGGGTCACCACAATCGACGCCGCACAGGGGCAGGAAGCCTCCCTCGCCATCCTCATGACCACTCGGGCCAACTCATAAGGGGGTTCCCCCTGTATTGATCTCCGTTCTGGTCAATATTCAAAAAGCGTTCGCCGCCGCACCGTCGGCTTTGCTTGGCTGGCGCGGCGTATCCATGTATCTACATATATCCCCCCAGGCGCCGTCGCACCGATACGTCTGCGCATCTTCTGTCCGTCTATCTGCCCATCCCCCGGGCGCCGTCGCACCCTCGGCGCGGCTTGACTGGCGGGGGGCGTCTATCCATTGGTGGCGGCCCATTTCTTCCAGTTACCCAAACGGAGGGGAATGGACATGCTGCTAAGACCTGCCAAGGTTTACATGGCCGCCTCTTGGGCCTCGAGAATGAATATTTACATTGGGGTTTGATCATTGAGTTTTCAACTTAACATGGCCTCCGATTGTCTAAAACCAATACAAGATGCATCGCGCGCGCGCGGGTGACCCGGCCCCGCGCGGGTCACCAGCGCGCCCGCGCTCGCCTCGCATATTGTATTGTGTTTTCTATATTTGACGTTGGCATGGCCGCCTCTTGGGCCCAGAGAATGAATATTTACATTGGGTTTTGATCATTGAGTTTTCAATTTAACATGGCCTCCGATGCATAAAACCAATACAGGAGGCATCGCGCGCGCGCGGGTGACCGGGCACCGCGCGGGTCACCAGCGCGCCCGCGCGCCTCGCATATTGCATTGTGTTTTCTATATTTGACGTCGGCATGGCCGCCTCTTGGGCCCAGAGAATGAATTTTTACATTGGGTTTCGACAATTGAGTTTTCAACTTAACATGGCCTCCGATTGTATAAAACCAATACAGGAGGCATCGCGCGCGCGCGTGGGTGACCCGGCACCGCGCGGGTCACCAGCGCGCCCGCGCGCTTCGCATATTGCATTGGTTTGTACATTTCCCAGATTTATATGGCCACCTCTTGGGCCCAGAGAATGAATTGTTACATTGGGTTTGGACAATTGAGTTTTCACCTTAACAAGGCCTCCGATTGTATAAAACCAATACAAGATGCATCGCGCGCGCGCGCGGATGACCCGGCCCCGCGCGGGTCACCAGCGCGCCCGCGCTCGCCTCGCCCATTGTATTGTGTTTTCTATATTTGACGTTGGCATGGCCGCCTCTTGGGCCCAGAGAATGAATATTTACATTGGGTTTTGATCATTGAGTTTTCAACTTAACATGGCCTCAGATTGTATAAAACCAATACAGGAGGCATCGCGCACGCGCGCGGGTGACCCGGCACCGCGCGGGTCACCAGCGCGCCCGCGCGCCTCGCATATTGTATTGTGTTTTCTATATTTGACGCTGGCATGGCCGCCTCTTGGGCCCAGAGAATGAATATTTACATTGGGTTTTGATCATTGAGTTTTCAACTTAACATGGCCTCCGATTGTCTAAAACCAATACAGGAGGCATCGCGCGCGCGCGGGTGACCCGGCACCGCGCGGGTCACCAGCGCGCCCGCGCGCTTCGCATATTGTATTGGTTTGTATATTTTCCACATTTATATGGCCGACTCTTGGGCCCAGAGAATGAATTTTTACATTGGGTTTCGACAATTGAGTTTTCACCTTAACATGGCCTCCAATGGAATAAAACCAATACAGGATGCATCGCGCGCGCGGGCGACCCGGCCCCGCGCGGGTCACCAGCGCGCGCGCGCCTCGCATATTGAATTGGTTGTATATATTCCACGCTTATGTGGCAGCCTCTTGGGCCCAGATAGTGAATATTTACATTGTGTTTTGACTATTGAGTTTTGAACTTAACATGGCCTCCGATGGTATAAAACAATTACACGATGCATCGGGAGCCCCGTGACCACGTGGAGCCGTCTTGGGGCGGTCTTGGAGCGTCTTGTACGCATGTTGGGAGCTATATTGAGTCATCGAGGGCTATCTTGAGCGATCTTGGAGGTCACCTTGAGCTCTCTTGGGCCCTCTTGGCGCCATCTTAGGCCATCTTCGGTGACCCAACGACCCGCGAAACGCCCCTTCCAGGCCCAGGGGGAGGGGGTAGGGGGAGGGGTAAACCCCTCCCCCAAAGGGGAAGAAGGGGGTTGAGGACAGAGAGGGCTCTTTAAACCACTCACGCCCAAAGGGCTGGTGGGATTTTTATATTGTGTTTTGGCCATTGCGTGCGCTGCAGAGATGTGTGTGCATGGTGAAGGCCACGTTGGCTTTTCTCGGGCCGACGTCTCCATGTTGCGACGACGTCTCAGGCGAAACGGCCCCAAGCGGCCCTGCAAAGGCACCAAGGGTGAAGCAGAATGGCTTCCCCATCCTTCCCACAGTCTACCTTAGGAGTTCTCCGGAAACAAACGAACTGTCTATCTGTCGCGGCCTCGCCGGTCGCTGTCGCACCGTCGGCGAACGTGCTTGGTTACGTACTGTGCATCTGTCTGGCCACCCGCTGTCGCCGTCGCACCGAAAAAATTGCGCGCCACACATGGTTGAACTTCACTGTCCACGGCGCGCCCATCGCACATCGCACAACTTTTTTCAATAACTTCTCAATAGTTCCGTGCGGCGGACAGATCGTTTTTGCGCATCTGTCCCCGACGGACCCGTCGCCGCCGCATCGGGGTGATCATCGTTGGGGGAACCCCCTCATGCCAACCCCATGCTACACTGGGGCCACGTCGACGACCGGCACCGCATCAACGTGGGGCTAACACGTCCGCAGTGCAACCTCATCATGACGGCCGACGCAAGGATGTTCCGCACGGCCACTGACGCTGCACTCCATCACCTGAGCACCTGGGCCCGGAAGACGGACCTTGCCTTCGAATTCCACATTCATCGAGACGGAAGCCTACGTCAGACCATGGCCGACCCAAAGGTTTTCATGGACGAAATAATCGAATCAGCCAACCCTGATGAAAAGGCCAGGCTCGCGGCGGATGCCGAGCGCAGACGGAAGGAGAAGGTGGTAATCAAGGCCCGGCAGGCTCAGCAGGCTGGCTTCGCGGCACGCGCCGATCTACCGCCCCCTGCCGACCACAGCTGGAAGGACCTGGAGGACGACGTCAACGTGGCAACGACGAGGCTACTGGGCTGCGCAGCACTCGGTCCGCGCCTGCCATGGTGCCTCGGGCTACACCCGCACCAGCACGGCGTCGCGGACCAGCCTACCGATCCCAGCCCTCAGGACAGGAAGGGATGGAGCGTGAACGGGCACCTCTTCTGCTGCTCAGCGCAGGTAGGACTGGACGCTGGCAACCTGGTCTACACTGCGGTCTTCGCG